TTTATTTTAAGGAGGATTTAACAGAAAGTAAATAATTTTACTTGTTATACTTCAAGGAAATTTAAGACGTTTTTCATATTGGTTTTGCGCGTCTGATGTATTCCGGTGAAAACTGGGATACTTGCCAAAACCGAGGAAAAAATGTGACTGCTTTCTTGATGCTAGATATTTGGCAAAGATTTGGATTCTTTTCCTGAACGATGCACGCGCGATTTTTGTGCCATCATTAATTTTAAAAATAAAATTTAATTAGTTCAATTAATTATTGTGATAAAAAATCCTATACATTTTAAGTAATATATTTAAAATAGGATTTATTTAACTTGTGATGTAATTCCTTTTCTTAATTCTAATGTAGGTAATGTAGTTTCCTTTTCTTAATTCTTAAACTGTTATATTATAATGAGATAAGATATACAATATCAAATTGCAGTCTGTTTTTTACAAATTTTTTTAACAAATTTTTCATCAGTCTTTTAATCATTTAAAAAAAATTGCTAATCGTAATATATATTTCGATTAAATTTAGAATCATCGGAATCTATTTTCGTTAATTAATTAATTCAATAATACATTATATTATTATTATATATTTGTATGATATGATATAATGATATTGTTTCATATTCTACTTAAATCTCCTGCATAATTATTTTAATTTTATTTTTTATTCGAATTTTTTATTCAAAATTTACATAAATATAAATAATATAGATTTTAAAAAAAAGTCGATTTCTAGAAAAATTGAAGGAAAAGAAATTAACAATATTATATTGCTATATAAAAATAAATATAAATAAAACATTAAATAAAACATCAAATAATTAAAATATTTATAATTGTGTTATTTTTATGATTTTTATGATTTTGTACTATTATGTGCTAATAATTTGTTAGATTTTTTACGAATTTAACTTGGTCAGTATTTTTATAACATAGTTAAAACAATAATACTCGTTCAAAGCAGAACGCGTACTTAACCTTTCTTCTTCTTCTTCTTTTTTTTTTTTTTTTTAT